AAATTATAAAGACTTTTGAAAATTAAAATGCTGACGTTTTTTCGATTAAAAATTCCGCGCGGTTTCATGTTCACTTAATACATTTTATTCTTATTATATTAATTAAATAATCTTGTGAAAGTGTCCTCTTTTACTCGGCAAGATATTGTATTATCACTGACTGTATATCTTACGCAATTCGTATCACTATACATTTACTATTTCATATGTTTTACTTAAAATTATAATTGTAAATTCATGTATTACACGTGATTCTTATTCTGTCTTTCACATCTTCCATACTTATATAAGCACGTTTCTTGCACGTGAATATTATAATAATTTAGATTCTCTACACGCGCGATAGTGGTGTTATTTTCAAGAAAACTCGCTCTTCTAAGAAATCAAGGGCGATTTGTTCTCCGGAATTGCGGTGTTTCTCTCATCCTCTCCTTTCTCTTCGTCTCTTTCTCGTGTTGTTCTTAACTGGTTGAACATCTCGCGATAAGCTCCAAATAACGGGCTCGTGGAACTTTTTGTAAATATAGAATCAAGGGACCTCGAGATTGATTCCATGAGAAATACAACGTGTCAGCTAATCAGAATATCGCAATGCGATATTCTGATGATCGTTTAATTTGAAGGCAGAACTGTTGAGAAAATACAAGGGAAGGGGAAAAAGATAGAGAGTGATGTGGACGAAGTTTCTTAATAGAAGAAGTCAGGTTCTCACAAATAGAAAAACTTGTCGAAACGGTGTACGCTTTATTCGTTCAGCTTCGATAAAATTGCGTTGGAAGAACTTGGATATTACTGGTGTGACGCCATCGAACGCGGATTGCGAATTTATCGCCATTTCATGAGGCAGCATTACTCTCTCTCTCTCTCTCTCTCTCTCTCTCTCTCTCTCTCTCTCTCCTCTCTTTTCTCTCGGTTAAAATATTCACCCCTTTCGACCGAAGCTTTAAATCATCTTTATTTTATGTCCCCCGAGATACGTTTAAAACAAATCGATATTTACCTTATAAACGTCGAAGTTCTCGATAATGGAATCGAAACACGTGTAGAGATCGTTCAGCAGATCGACCACCTGCAGAGGCGTGCTCTCGGCAGACAGACTCGTGAAGCCTACGATGTCGCTGAAGTAAATTGTCACTTGATCATATGTCTCGGCGATCACACTTTGCCCGAGAATCAATTGCGACGCCACTGATCTGCTCGCAGAAATAAACAAACACGTGCCTTTTATAGATGACGGTAAGCAGAAAAGAAGTTTAAGGAATATTAATTTCTGTAGAGAAGGCTAAGCCATTTAGGCTTAGTGAACTCACGAGCTCAATTTGTAGCGGATGTATTTATACGCATATTGTATAACTACAATATTCACGTGTCATATATATGTATTATATGTTTATATATGTATATACATATGTATATATACATATATGTTTCAGCACAATGAACATTAAAAAAAAAAATAAAAAGTAAGTTATTACTTTCATTTAAAAATAAACAGAAGAATAAGAAGCTTATTTCATTTAAATGGAGCAAGAAGAGCGGTTTTTTTTATAGTTTATTCTTTATTTATACTTTATTACTTAAAAAAAAAGGATAAATGATTTTAAAAGAGACATAATATGGTAGATTTCTACGGAGAGAATTTTTTAAATTTATCTTGAACACTAGTTGTGGTACAATACTATATATTTTAAAGATGTTTACCGTGCACTTTAGTAAAATTAATCAAATTTATTTTATATTTTATTACAGTTTTATTAATGAATGAGAGAAATTTATATTTAAATTTAAGAAAAATTTTCATCTTCTACAGGAAATTTTATTTGGGAATTCTTGACTTTTATTTTATAATTTCTTCATCAAATCATACAAACCAAATTTATACAAATTTTTAATTTAAAAAAGTATGAAGGAAATTTATTTTCCTCGAAAATTTTTTTTGCATAGAATTTATTTTAACTTTTTATCAAGAACGTTCGATAAATTTTAAAATTAAATTTCCAGAAATTAATTAAGAGAAATCTATGTATAATAACTAGTGATGTTTTATTAGTCTCTTTTGAAACATATTTGAAATTAAAAAAAAATATTTACATATGCTTTTTACAAAGATAAAAAATCAGTGCGCGGAGATATAATGTTTATACATACATATGTAATTTGAAAAATATTATATTTAAAAGAACTCATTTTGCTAAAATTAAATTCCTCTACATAGGAATAAAAAGCATTGCTTTTGAAATGAATAATAAGGTATTGTTATTGCACACAGAATTTTGTCATTTCGCGAAGATCTGAATTTCGTATCACTGCGTCATGTATCATGATATGATATCGATTAAACGATCGCAATAGCGCACTAATTACATCACTGCTCTCGACAAAAGAATTCTCACTCATGAGGGACGAGCTGATAAAGTTTTCGAAGCTTTCAACAAATTTTCCTCGTACTTCGCTTCCTTTTATCTTCGTAAAATTTATTAAGGTACCTATTTACTCGCTAAAAGTTATGTGAGTTATGTGAAAAGTTATATGTTAACCGCGCACATTGTAATGAAATAGTTTCATTTAAACGAACATTTTTATATTTATGTAAAACACATAGATACAATTCTTTTATTTTTATCGAAACCTCAGTCAAGTGAAATGATATTAATATCGCCGTTTTTAATTGATTCTATCATAAGTATGTTAGATTTCCAAGCAAATATAGAAAACTTTGTTTTATCACATCAATGAAAACATACAGTTTTGTCTCAATCACCATAATGAAAACATAACAATTACATTAATGTGATAAATTGTTACAAATTATTTTGGGATTTGTTACATTTTATATTGTTCCAACGCAATATTGAATTAAAAAAGACTCAGATTCTATTAGATAATAATCATATTGCAATTCTACGGATTAGATTTTAATAGCGCTTTTATCATTCCGTTTACCTACTCTATCATCTCATAGCTGTACACATTGATAATTTTCTCTCTTTTAGATCAATTTCAATTTTAAAGTTGATCAACTTTCGATATTCTTTCAATCGTGGCTGATCGCATGAGCAAGTCGTTCAATTCGACTGTAATTTTCTATTTCCACGTTACACCGTTCAATTTCATGCTGTCTATAACACGAAAGGATTCTTTCAACCATTAATTTACGTCATGGCGCATTGTCGCACTTTGATGTAAAAGGTATTTGATATCTCGATCATTATTAGGCATTTGAATTAATTAGCGTTTAATGTTCATATGTTCGGTAAAAAAGAATTCTTGCTTACGTTCATTAATGTATAATTTATACCTAATTAAATTCTAGCAATATAGCCTGATATTAATTTAGATAATAATTTAGACAGAAAAAAGTGATGATACAAAAATTCAGCGAAAAGTTAATTAGAGCTATAGCAGTGAGACAAATTCAAATTTTATGCATGCAACTTATAATAATTATTAGAATTAATAAAAATATTCTTTTAAATAAAGAGTATTATAAAATTAATAAA